CATGGAAAGACCAGCACTGGTCCTTATGGATGCTCTGAAATCGTTTGGTACTAGAAACAATCAGAGGGTCACTGTGAGTGTTGTCTCATTTTGAGCTCACTTCTGTCTTTTCAATCTGGGGGTTAAATTTCTCCCCCCTCCTTCCCCATTGGAAAGGTCACAGCCCGTATTCCCGAGGTTTGTTTTTAGAGGCAGCTCTTGGCTGAGCTGGCATTGGACACAGCACATTTGCTTGGATCTCTGCCACTTCCAAATTTAAGTGGGGGCTGTTACGGGACCGGAGGGAGACACCAACCCAGAGCCACTGCAAGTGAGCTCTTTTCTAAGGTAGGACATTGTGCTTTCTGCAGACTAAAGCCACTAATCAAGCCTAGAGCTGCTGTGCTTCTCCCTTAGGAAAACCAGATCTTTTTTTCCCCCCATTTCCTTTTATCCCCCCGGATTTGGATTTGGGACTGAAGCACCCCAGTTGCTGCCACTCGTCACGTAAAGGACAATGTGATTCTGGGAGGCTGAAGCTACAAAAGAGGTGTTTTTTGGGGGAGCTCTCAGGGGTTTGGTTTCTTTTAGGACTTGATCTCATCTTTGGTGCCTTTAAGTGAACCCTTGACCTTATTAACTAATCCTTGTTCCTTGAGGAACCCTTGTCCTGGCTTTCATAGGATAAAATCCAATTTTTGTTTTAAGGGGAAAGTTTTGATTTTTTTGTTGTTTTGTTTTTGTGGGTTTTTTTAATTGGATTATTGTGATTTATTTTATGGGAAGCCTTCAAAAAGTTTCCAGTCACCTGTATTTGCTCACATTATCAGTGTTCTTATTTCTGCTCTCTAATAACCTGCATGTTCCAATCCTGCCTTTTGGGATGGAGAACTGGGAATTACAGGACTTGATTTGAACCTGTTAATGAGCAGTGGCTTTTCTCGTGCTGAAAACTTGGTGTCATAAACATTACCTGTTAATAACGGGGGTTTTTTCAGTGTGAATACCCAAATTTTTGAACAAAGGTGACAGTGGGGTCTCAGACCTTTGAGCAGGAGGTGTGAGACACCCAGTTCATCTCAAACTGACTACAGAAATTCTTCTTTCCAAAGTAATCTATTCAGCTGGGTTCTCCTCTCCCTCAACTCTGAGTGAACTGAGATTTTCTTTGTTCTGGGGCTCTTTTAAGGGGCCATTCGAGCACCTTCCTTGGAAGAAGGTGCTGCATCCACCTGCCCTAATGGAAAGGGATCCAAATCTCTGATTGGCAAATCCTCCTCTCTCTTGCTCCATTCCTTTCTCTCTCCCATCCCACATTTCCCCTCCCCAGAGTTTATTGGTTACCTGTTGATTCAGACTCCAGCCTGGAAGCTGCCAAAGCAGGTTGCTGCTCCTGACTGGGTTCTTGGCTTGCTGCAGCCCTCAGGCAGAGATGGATAATCTGCCCAGTTCCTGTCTATAATATGGAGAAAAAGGGGGGGAAAAAAAGAAAATAAAACCAATAAAAGACCTGGAAATATTTTTCAAATCAAAAAGAATTAAAGGCAGAGCTTTTTTGTTTAGAAATTAAATGAATAATAATTGTTTTAAGTTAACCAGGCACAACTGTTTCATACTGAGGAGCAATGGACGCCATGTGTCTAAAATATGGCTTTTATTTGGTAGGTTTGGGGGCTCTTTTCCACCGTGACAGAGAGTTCAGGCCTTGCAAAGTCAACCTTTATTTTTACCAAAGAATGTGAAAGAACCATGCTGTAATCAAACAAGGAACTCCCTCCCATCTCCTAGTGTGATTTAATTAGGAAAGGTGTCAGGAAAGCCCTCCTTTCCCAGTTACCTTCTCACCTGCATTTCACTGAAATCAGAAGCAACCTGGTCAGGGCCAGATTTTTCCAGTGGCTCCACTTCAGCCTGTGCTCAGGAAGTGCCACTGCACCTGTCAGCTCCCACTCTGGGAATAATGTGGAGATTTTTGATTCCAAAATGTCCTGTCAGCCCAGTGGCAGCACAGCACCTGTTGTCCCTGCCCACATCTTGTCCTCTGAATTTCAAGAGACTTTTGAGAAGCAACAAAAAGGCAGCTGCTTTCAGGGACCAGCTGAACCTTCTGATCCAGCCTAAAGAGGCCAGTGGCCTTGTGTCTGAACAAGAATTATTTTAGGGAAGATCCGCTCTCCTACGTTAAATCAACTCTACCAGTCCCTGGCTGTAAACCAGTACAAGACACACCCTGTGTGCACTCCCTCAGCACAGAGGTGGAGGAATAAGGTGCTTTGCCAGTGGCCTGAGTTCAGTCCTCCTTTTGGGTTTCTGATTTCCCACTCTGGGCACACTCCCTGTGCCCGGGGAGCCCGTGCCCTGGATGTCTCCCTGCATGATGCACAGTGGATCACACAAGGAAGTGCTCTGTGGACACACGAGTTAGCTCAGGAGTGGGAAGCTCCAAAGGACCTCGAGAAGAGTTGTGTACCAACTTGATGGGTTTTATTTTTAGATCTTGTCAAGTTTATTTAGAGCTGTCTTGGTGTTATATTATTGTGTTCCAGCTGTACCTCCAGAAATATTTACTTTATTCAGTTCACTGTTGTTTCAGAAACTTAGCCTGTTCACTAACAGCTACTTGAGGAATTCTCTCCAGGCCCCTGATGGACATCCAGAAAGCCTGATATTTTCCACATTAGCTCTGTTCCATGGCATGTAGAGCCTCTGCCATCCCCTCAGCTCCATACAAGCTCACTGTCACTCAGTGACACTAAATTCTGGCTTAGCATTGCAGTTACCTCTTGTTTTCTGCTTCTTGTGCCTTCTGTTTGAAGTAGCACAAGTTTTTTGCCCAGAACTTTCCAGTATCTTCCTAGTAAAGATCTGTCTTGCAGTTTGAACTGCAAGAGTTCAAAGTCTGTCTGCACAAGGACGGGGAAGGGAAGATACACTGAGATTTGGTTTTGACTTTATGTGTGACCCAGAAGTGGTACAGATTCCAGGAAGGGGTTCTCATTGACTTCACTCTGACATCAAGCTTTAATAAAAGTTTGGGGGTAAATACAGTGGGGAAATCAGTGGCCTTTTCACAGCAGAAGTCTCACTTGCTCTTTGGCTGTAAAAAAAACTACTCCCTTGAAGGAATGGCTTAGCAAGGAGATTAGGGCTATGCCTTGGTATCAGAATCCAATTCCAGGATGAGATTTCAGTGCGTTAAGCAAATAACTTGCTCAGAGAGAAAACCTGGAGCCTCCAGAATACAGACTGGCTTATATCCATCTGGGATAATACACAGTAACTGATCTCTGGCTTGTAGGTACTGTGGTACTGGCTGTTCTAGAGAAATCTGAGAGGTTTTATTACAATCAGAACAATGTGGAGACATATCCCAGCCCTGAGGAACTTTCACTCTAAACACACTTTGTACAAGAGGGTGAATCCAGAGCAAAACATGGGAACAGCATCTCTGAACCCAAGTTGTTACATGACAGCTGACAGGATCCAATGCCAAGTGTCCTGCTGGGATGTCCAGATTAGCATTTAAATGCTTAAAATTGGGTACTGATGTGGACTTTCCAAAGTCTAAATGCAGGGATGAGGAAATCTGTTGATGATACCTCTGTAGGGGATTAGTTTTTTGTCGGTCCAAGGCAAGGTTAAGAAAAATAATCCCCCTTGTTTTCCAGCCTCTGCTAATTTTCTTCACGGTGCAATGATCTGTTTCCTTTCATCCTGTGGCTCTAGGAAAACTGTTCAGAAAGGAAGATTCATGGATTTCACAAGCACAGTCATCATCCCGCTGCTTTTTGGCAGCCTGGGGATCTTCGGCCTTTTCCGGTTCCTGCAGTGGATGCGGATGCGAGCGTACCTGCAGGAGGCAGTGGTGGTGATCACAGGGGCCACCTCTGGCCTGGGAAAAGGTATGGACCCAAAGGAGGGCACCAAGGGCAGGACAGGCAGGGGGTTCTGGAAGGGGCAGCTACTGGAATAAAGCAGTGATGAGCAGAAAGTTCCCTTGCTCCGAGTTTTGAGAGGCATGGCTTGCACTCCCACGTCAGTTATAACTACAGCCAGTGCAGATTTTGATGCAAGAAAGTCTGATCTGTTAAGGAAAATTTTAATCATCCTGTATAAAGTGGAGCTCATCAAAGCAAAGAATGAGATACACTGTTCTTGTGCTGTCAGGGGTCTTTTCCCTAAATCCTGAAAAAGCCAGAAGCCAAATTGTTTCTCTAAAACTTCTCCAAACTGGTGTTCTGCATTCATGTTGAACTCCCAGCTACCTTGCCAAACTTTCCACTCCCCAGTGTGCTGGATGACACACACAAGGTAACTGTGGTCCCTCTTGAGAAGGGCATAAAGTCAAAAATGAAGAGGCACAGGCAAATTCAACCAGCTGATGGGGAGGGTGTGTAAACAGCACAATAACTGCATAACCAGCACAGTAACTGTGAGCACAGCAGCTGCCTCACCACTATCATGTGTCTGTCACACTCACAGGAAGGTGGCACGTGGCTGTGACCTTGCCTGTAAATCAGCCTGACCATTACTCAGGAGCCATAAAGCCACCTCAGACCCCTGCCAGCTGACAGGGGTTTTACTTATCACCAGGTTTGATGTGGATCTGCTGTTTGTTATTCAAATGCTTATTTTGCTCTCTCTCTTGCTTCCTCCAAAGAATGTGCCAAAGCTTTCCATGCAGCTGGCTCCAAGGTGGTGCTGTGTGGCAGAGACAGTGAGAAGCTCAAGGAGCTGGTGCAGGAGCTTTCTGCTGTGAAGAATCACCGGAAGAAGGTGAGTGTGGGAGGAGGACAGGCTTCTGTGTGGTTGGGATTTCTGCTCGTGGTGTTAACAGAGGTTACAGAACTGCCTGTGGCTTGTTCTGTTGAGCAATAGGAAAAATGCAACTCTCTGCTTAGGGATAGATGTTGATATAGGAGTACATTGAGCTGGCGTGTCATTTCTTGTAAAAACCCTACAAAAATAAGGCATCTGAAAGGCTTCTTGGCTAGAAATGGAAGGGAAAGCATGGGAGTGCAATGCCCAGACTCCTTGCACCTGTATGTCATATACTGAACCTGAAAAAGTGACTTCTGCTGGCTTTTATTTTTAATGTCTAGTTCTGCTGACAGTGGCAAAAAAAGGTATTGCTGGCTTCTGTAGAAAACACCTGGGCTAAGTTTTGACTTTTTCAGATGCACTGTCTTTAATAAGACAACAGGAAACTTCAGTACTTGAAGAAGATCTCCCTTGCCCTTTTCCTGGGCTTGGGTAGAAGGAAGGAGCAGACAAAGACAAGAGCACAACCTGCTTCTGTCATGTGTTCCTGCCATATGGAACTGCAGCACAAGGTCTGGATGGCCCTGCTCCTGTGCTTCCAGAGCTGCGAAATCCCACCATGAGCGTAAACAACCAGCACAGCCTCAACTGGTATTTTGCTAACTTTGATTTATTCGCAGACGCACAAACCCCACACTGTGGCATTTGACCTCTCGGACACCAAAGCTGTGCTAAACGGTGCTGAGGAGATCCTGAAGCACTTGGGTCACGTGGACATACTGATCAACAACGCAGGCATCAGCTTCCGAGGCACAATCGTGGACACGGGGCTGGATGTGGATAAGAAAGTGATGGAAACAAATTATTTTGGACCTGTAGCCCTCACCAAAGGTACCTGTGATCCACATGGATTTGGCTGAGGTCCCTGCAACCAGCACAACTAAACACAGCTTAACTTGTGTTTGTGATTGTACCTGGTGCAGTGCAGCCTGAGAGGGGTGGGTGGAAGGTTTTGGGTTATGGACAGGACTAAGGAGGTGCTTGGGCAAGACTGTGTGGGAAGTGCCTGATTAGAGATGATTCCTTGTTCCATCTCCTGACTCTAGGCTGGCAGGAATTTGGGAAGAGATCCAGTTCACTTCAGCATCTCTAAACACTCTGAAAGCTTTGATTCTTGACAGCAGCAGTGGCAGGAGTGTTGTCTGAATGAGTCTTTTCTGTCCTTTGCTAGCACTTCTCCCCTCCATGATCAAGAGGAGACAAGGCCACATTGTGGCCATCAGCAGCATTCAAGGCAAAATAAGCATTCCTTTCAGATCCGCATGTAAGTACCTCCACAGAAGATGGGAAAGACATATTTGGGGCACCAGGCTGAATAAATACTTGGCTCCTGCTTCCACATTTAGCTCTCCATGGAGCTGGCTGCGTGCAGGGAAGGCAGAGCTGTGCATCACCCTCAGTGTGGTCACAAATCACTGAGAGAAGATGAGGAAGGTACTCTCAAGTACAAAACCTGAGTCCTATCCCGAAGTTGTTAAGGGATGGAGAAGAACAATATGTTTTCAGTGTCCTGAAAACACCTTGATAATCCTATTTTAACACTCGAGAGTCCCTATAAATCCATAATTTTATTGCATTTTATCCTTGCTGTTTGCTTGGTTAATCTCCAGTAAGAAAGTAGGAACCTTTTGTTTCAGTAATTTATGAAGTGCTCTAGTAAAACCAACGCCAAAATAAAAGCCTAAATAGTCATCTTGATCCAGCAAATGGTTCATGTTAAATCAGCTATGACAAGAAATAACATTGGTGAGATTACTGGAAAAAGCCTCTTAAAAGATGGATGAACCAAGAGTAGATTGTTTAGCACACAAGCACCTGTAAATTGCTGAAAATAAACACTGAAAGGACAGTGGTGGTGGCATAAGATGGGTCAGGCACAATGCTGAGTGGAGGAGAGCCTGGAATGTCTGAGCCATGGGGTCTTGCAGGTGATGTGGGTGTGACTGCTCCAGGAATTGTGTTCTGAAGAGCCCTTGCCTGGGTCCTCACAGGGTGTGCAGCCCATGCTGAGCTCGTGCTGCTGGAGTCAGCCCTGCAGCCATGGTGAGGTGGTGGCAGTGACCATGGATATGGGAAGGGAGCAAGGAAACGGAGTCACTCAGCCATTTAACAGGGGGAAATCCTGCCCTAGGCCACACTTCCCTGCTCCTGCCTGCTTGTGAGATCTGGTTTTGACCCGTGTGCAGCCAAGCTCTGAACCTGCTCTGCAAGTCCCCAAGTGCTCAGCACCGTGCAGGGACTGCCAGCTCTGCCCTCCCCAGACAGAGCTTGTCTGACTAACACTTCCCAAGCCAGGCTTTGGGTCTCCTTTATCAGGAGTGGGAGGCAGCCTGGGTTCACTCTGGAGTGCTTTGGCAGGGCTGTGATAGTAAGCTCAGGATCCCAGCCAGTTTTCAACTTGAGTTTACATTTTGCCTTCCTAAATTGCCTCTCACTCCCACTACCTGTTGCTGCCATTCACTAAACAAAAACAAACGTAGAAGCTGGAGAACAGCTGCTGGGTTCTTGCTGAGAAGTGGCTGCATTGCAGTGTTAAAAAGCCATTTGAGCAGTGAATATTCCTTCAGCCCTGCTCCTTCTCTTTGGTGCACAGCCCTTTCCCTGTTTTTCAGATGCTGCCTCTAAGCACGCTACCCAGGCCTTCTTTGACTGCCTGCGAGCAGAGGTGGAGCAGTATGACATTGATGTGACAGTTGTGAGCCCCGGATACATCCAGACAAACCTCTCTCTCAACGCTATCACAGCAGATGGATCTCGCTATGGAGGTGAGATACGATTTGGTGCCCCGTTTGTAAAGCATCTCCACCTCACCGGGTTGCTACAAGGTGTGCTTGCAATACATGGCCTCTGGTGGGGACACAGGTTAGTCCTGAAGGATCAAAAAGCAACTTGGGATGCAGGGTAGGAACAGTAACCTCCAAAACTGAACCTTCCTAGACAGTGACTACTGGCCCAACCATGAGTTACGGCTGCCTGTGCTCCCCTACACAACTGGAGTAAAAGCCAATACAAGCAGCCATGTACAGTTAGAGCATTCCTAGGAAAGGTGCCTAAGTGTGGGTTTACCTGCTGATACTGATGCTCACTGGGCTTTCCCTTGGCAGTTATGGACAAGACCACGGCCCAGGGACAGACGGCGGCCGAGGTGGCTCAGGTGGTTCTCAATGCAGTGGGACAGAGGAAGAAGGAAGTGCTCGTGGCTGGCCTGACTCCCTTCCTGGCTGTCTACCTGAGGAACCTCTGCCCCAGGGTCTTCTTCACCTTAATGGCATCTAGAGCAAAAAAGGAGAGAAAAGCAAAGGACTCTTAGAGCTCAGATTGCCTGAGCAGTACCTGCAGGGACAGGCTGAGCCCCTGCAGTCGGCTGGGACATCATTGGAGGTGCTCCTGCAGGAAAAACCTTTCTCAAAATACTGAAGTTTACTATTGCATGGAGAGTGGGAAGTGGTTTCCCCCATACTGGTGGAAGAAAGCACCTAAACCTCACCTGGAGAAGGAAGGGTGCTCGGACAACGGGGGAGAGCTGAGGCTGCAGGGGAGGGTGACTCAAGGGAACACTCTGCAGCCGGGGAGGCCCCTGTGCTGGAACACAGCACCTCACCTCACTCCAGGCATGCTCAGATCTACTGGGCTGCTACAAATAAAACCCACCTGTTTTGCCTTCACACAAGCAGATCTTGGCTTTCCCCGCGCCATGGCCCCTGTGAAATACAGTCCTTGGCTCTCGTGATCAGTGTCTCCTTCCCACTCCTTCCAATCCGATCCAGAACATGCTGCTTGAAGTGGGAAACTGCACAGAGCTTCTGCTTGTTAACATGCCAGGTCATCTGATATGTTAAGTTCAAGTCCAGTGCCACTTTTAAAGAAGTAACTGATGTACAGTTGAAGTATATTTGGCCATCATTTTACCCGTCTGAACTGTGTCTTACTGATGTACGGGGACATTTAACTCTGCACTGGCAGCACAGTATGAACCCCAAGCACCAGAGAATGCAGGAAAGCACTGAACAGATAGAACAGCACAGCAAGTCACAGCAAGGTGACAGCAGCACACCTGGCCAGCTGCAGGCCTGGAGCACAGAGCAGGTGTGATCCCGGGGATGCCAGGCCCTGTCTCCTGGATGCAGAGGAGAACCTGTGTGTGCAGGATGCACAGTCTAGCAGACAGACCCTTAGTTCTCATTGCTTCAAAGCAATCACAGATGCTAATTAGGATCACATCCAGTGGGGAATGATACCTGCCTGTTCACTCATCACAGGCTTCAGGGAGTGCCATATTCCATTCTTCGCCTGGTCTCATGTGAGAGATACCAGCTCTAGGAAAAAGGAATTGCTGCACAGAGAGTTCAGTAAGGACAGAAATAATCTTTTTAAACTTGTAATTAAAATAAAACCGACTAATAGGAAAACAAAGGTCCAGACTCCTGTTGCCACCTCCATGCACTTGCCAGCATTTTCCATGTCCTGCCTCGTAAGTCCTGACTGTGAGTGCTCATCTGATGACAAATAAATTACATTGCTATGAAATGAATCCTTTGGTCTGCTCCAGCTCCTCACAGGAGGTAACGTTAGAGGAAGGGAAAGCAGGAGGGTTTTGTTTTTTTTTTCTTATATCCCTCACAAAAAAAATGCCAGGACCACAGAGGTTTGGTGAAGAAAAGGAATTAAAGGCCCTGAGAATTATTCTGCATTGAGTAAAAAAGAACAGGAAGGCATTTGGTGTGGCCAGCACAGGGTATTTCAAGGCCTTCTGCAGCAATAAGTAATAGTAGCTATGGCAGATGTGCCACCAGCTTCAAATCCATCCAGTAGACAGGACTTTGGAAACATGTCAGGATGGAAGGGCAACCTGCCCAGCCTGGCCTAACCACAGAAAGACGAAGTAGTTGCATTTCTTCCCCTCCTCTCTGCCAAGGCAACTGTACATTGTTGCTATAAATAGACACTCTGGATCCCAGCTTCTTTTAACCTTGGAGGGAGAGAGCTCAGCCACTGTACAAAGTGCTGTTGCCTCCCAGAAAGGTCTCCCTGCCACTGGAGTTTCCTCCAGCCCTCGGCCCGCTCAGGTACAGCTGCCTGTGCAGGTGCTAAAGGCTGAGAACTCCCAGCAGCCCCAGCCTGCCCAGCACACACAGACGGGCTGTGTGTCCTGCTCACACAAAAGCTGCCTCAGCAGAAAAGCACAAATCACAACTGCAGATGCTGGAGGCAAAGACAGGGGGAGTTCTTGGTGCCTGCTGTGGAAATTTGGAGAGATACAGACAGAACAACTCCGTGTGGTGTCTGACCTTGTGAGAGGCCCTGCCAAGGTCGGTGTTTCAGCCGTGGAGGTCAGGCTGCAGCTACCACTGGAGCAGGGAGCACATCTGTGCACAGGCAGCTTTTATTGCAGGCTTTGCTCTTGTATCCCGATCCCAACACCTGAAGCTGTGCCAGGCTGTGCCCTGCAAACGCCAGCCACGCCCATTTTCCATCTGGTATGAAGAGATTATAGGCAGCCAGTCCCTATCTTTTAGAAGTAACAGGCAGACCTTGCAAAACAGTAAATACTTCCCAAGCTAGGAACAAGATTTTGAGTTCAGAGCTAAAAGATGCATTAATGCACACGACTGAATTCTACAGTTTCATGTAATGCAGTTACAAGATGGTCACCTGGATGCCTTGCAGCACAAGGAGGCAGCTCCAGAAGCGCCTGTTCCAGGCAAGAGCAGTGGAATTGCACAGTCAGCACACAGCACAAAGGTAGGACAGGTGGACTCCCACCTTGGCAGCCCTCAGCTGCACATGGTACAAGTCATTTCAGTGGAGATGTATCCACGTTAACAAGAACGGAGCAGAACGTGTTTGTAGCTGGAAACTTACTGTGTGCAGAGGAGTCAGGGTTGGAGGTGGCAGGGCAGCAGAGAACTGAGGCACCTTTACCCCCAGCCATCAATGTTTAAGCAATTACCAAAAAGGTATCAACCTGAGGTAACAAATAAGGCTCCTCCAGGAAACACAAGCAAGAGGGACAGCAACATCCTACAGTTGTTCCTTCAGCAGATGGCTGCTGTGAGCTAACATGGACACTGCTGCCATGTGCAATGGACAAGAGGAGTATCAGGTCTGTGTGTGACTAGGCATTAATAATTATCACCACTGCAACTCTCAGAGCAAAGCCTCCACCCCCAGGAAGCACAAGAGCAAAGGGAACTGTGATAACAGTGACAAGAGAGCAAAAGCATTTGAAATTCTCATCCTTTAATGGTCATTGATAACTTCTGGCTGGTTCTGTGTAATACAATTAAACAATATACTTAATTGTTTCCAAAAAAAAAAAAAAAAAAAAAGCAGCTCTCACACCCCCTCTTTCTATTGCTTTATTTCATCCACATTCCGCTGCTGGATTGGACTCCCCTGGCCTAACATACGGATCTCAAGTCATCACACATCCACATCTCAAGTGTAACGAAGAACTGAAAAACCTTGGTGCACCAGTGATTTGTTATTTGAAAAATAACAGCTCTATTAAACCAAATCCTTCCCAGTCTCCACTGCTTCTCAAAGAGGAAAAACAAAATGTTACTGTGGGAGTCTTAATACACTTGTCTTTGTGGGTTTCTCTCTTCCCTGCTGAAGTCATACAGCATAGAGTTCATAGATCTTCTTTACACAGTACACCAGGGCAGCGAGTGCTATCGTGTTGTGCAGTCTCTTTCTGTGCAGGTCGTCCTTCCTCACCAGCACCACGGGGGTGGACGAGGTGAGCGTATGCAGGGGCAGGCGGGAGAGTTTATAGGCATCGTACTCGACCTGGTACTTGCAGCAGGGATCAAACTGCCACGAGATCCCGTAGAGGGTGCAGCAGGCCACGCTCAGCACTCCAGCGGGCAGGGAGATGTAGTGAGAATAATCTACTGGAAGTGCCAGGGGGGTGAAGAGGCAGGTGGTGCCCGCCAGCACGGCCGTCTTGTGCAGGCAGTTCCCGACGGTGATCCATCGGGCCGTCTCGTCCCCGATGCGCGTGGGCTCTATCACGATGTACTTGTACTGCGCTTCCAGGGCCTGCTCCAGCTCATACTCAAACTGGTCCTGAGCATTCTCCCCGTTGTAGATCTCGTGCACAATGTAACAGTCCGTGGAGGACAAGGTGACCCTGTTAACGGGAAACTCGGAATTAAAACGACAGAGCTTAAGGATGGACTGTTCACCCACCCGGCTGTGAGAGCAGCAGAGAAGTGCCCAAGTGAGGGCAGCCCCTCAAGGTCAGGCACTGCCTGTGTTCCACAACCAGCAGCTTTTTCAACTCAAGCTTCATTTCACATCAGCTCATTACACCTACTGTACAATAATTCATCCCAAAATAAGGCAATATATTTTTCTTACCTTTTCCTGACTTGGGGGATATAAAGCAATTTGAGAAATAGGATCTTGTTGACAGTCCTGAAATGGTTCCTCACACTGATACCCAAGCAGTTTCTCTGGAGACAGTGGAAGTGTCACTCACACCTTAGTGACCACAATGCCCCACTGAACAAACCACACAGACTTCAGGAGTTTTCATAGAAAATAAACCCAGCAGCTCATCCATCAAGAGGACAAACTGCACTGGAAGGTTTTGAGAGAGGAAGCATCTCTAGATGAATACATTTGTTTTCACCCCACAATAGTTACCTCCTTGCCACTGATGAAGCTTGATATTTAGTCCTCCATAGTAAACCCAACCTAGTAAATCCATAGCAAATCCAACAAGGATGGCCAAGATACATTGCTGAAACAAGGTGAGGAAGGCAGCAGAGCACTCTGTTGCAGAACACTCCCTCTCCTGACGTAGGATGCAGCAAAGCAAGAAAGGAACATTTTTAACCCAGACACGCTTTAGCAGTGAAGAGCTGCTCGTGTTACCTGGGAGCACATTCCCTACTGACAGGGGATTCACAGGACTTGTATTGGAGCAGGAGCTTTTAACTACCTGAAATCACATCCGTTTCCACCTTCCCTTTACCCTTCACCACATCACCACAGCTGCAGCCACATTCATGTACAGACTGCTAAGAATCAGGATTATGACTGCTCACCTGCCCTGAGAAAGGGTAAAAACCTATCCACTGGAACACAGCAAAATCCTCCCTTCTAAGCAGAAATGACTATTTCTGACATACTCGTGTTTAACCAGAGCAAAACTGAGCACGTGGCCTCTC